CTTTGGTTATTAATTCACAAGTAATGAATATAAATACAAATAAACATATTGTAATTTTATTTTAAAATTGATAACATTTATTTTTTTATACTTTCGATATTTTATACAACAGAAAGTTGCTAGTAAAATGTTTAATATTGAAGAGCCAGTAATAAAATTATAAAATTCTTGATGAACATTCCGACTATTTACTTGTACTAAATTTAAAAGTCAACACTTAAATTTACCACAATGTATACTAGCAAAGGCGAACTAACAGAGCGGTAGTGTTCTATATGGTCCGGTCTGGTCTGGTCGTATTTATAAAAATAGGTGAAGAATTGGTTCTGTTCGATTCTATTTTTATGAAAGATTTCGGTCTGATCCTTGCTTATACTATAATCATTTCAACTCAGTTAATTTTCAAAAATATAATCAGATCGGTTCGATCGGTTCCAACTAAGCGATCAAAGCTCGTTTATAATCCATTGAACAATGATTTTAAATTTTAAAGACATTATTTATTAAATTAATAACATGTAAATTATTATGGGAATCAATATTTTACTCCTGCGCCGTTGTTTTATGTAATTTTTAAGTATATATCTTAGAGCTTTTCAAGGTATCAACTAATAATTATTATCGAAAATAATTTCAAGAACAACGGTTGCAATTATTCTTGTTATGGTAAGGGCGACACGGAAGAACTTAAGTATCCTGCAAATATATCTACAATGTAATATTTAATTTTCTATGTACTATATATTATCAGTTTTTGAGTGATCTACAAGCAGTTTATACCAATTATCAATATGTGGTATAACTCAAAATTTTCACAGTCCGACATCTTTTTAGTTAAAATTGTTTATCCGCTCTAACAGATTATATTATTTTTTCAGTCTAGTCCAGTTCCTAAAATTGCGGAACGTGCAGATCACTATAGAGAGGGTAGTTGGTCATACTCACTCATACCCTCCAGAGATGTTATGTTTGAGCCTCAAGCTACATTTGTCATTGTAACATGAGTCGCTTGTTTGCTAGTTTACAAAATGTATACCCACCACAGGTCTTGAGGGTCTCAGTCTACCACTATATATTAGTATACTTAATTATGTCTATTGTACTAAAATGTTCATACTCAATAATAAATAATATTCTATGACTGATATAAGACAAGCGAGATTAATTAATAAGTTCATTCGAACGTAGTATGTCAGAAATTAAATATTAGATATAGGTACACATTTTACAACATAACAGTCCACTTAAATTTCCAACTTTTTTAATCTTAATTTTATTACTTTAGTTATAATGGCTTTTTGGAATAAATTATTTTTTTTATTTTTTATTATTAATTACATTTAAACTTAATGTTTATTGGAGGGACTGAGACTAATTAAAAACTGAGTTTTTCAACAAAAAAGTTAACAAATTTAATAATAATTTTGATAATTATTTAAACTTTTGTAAACTGTAAATTGATGCTAAATTTATAAAAAAGTGTCGCAATTATTCATAATTTTGAAAATTTAATTATTTAGTTTAAATGTATAAATAAATATACATAAGTAAATCACGATAGTAGATAACATCGTTTATTGAAAAAATAAAAATAAATTTATATAAAATAAATATTTACATTTATTTTAGTTTTGAAATAAAAATTAATTCTCATTTAAAAATCATTAAATCAGTTTCGAAAAGTTAATACACATAATTATTTACAAAACGTAATTAGATTAGTTTTAATGTTATGTCATGATTTTAAGTTTTTAATCAATTGTCTATATTATTATATACAAGTATAAATTATAATGCTCTAATTTAAAGTTATAATATTTGATAAAATTGTAAAATATTTTACAAATGTCTACCAGTAATATTGACTGTTAAAAGTTCTTATGAATTATTGATGAGTTTCTATATACAAATTATAGCTATAAATGTATATACATTCAATTTAGGTTTTAACATTTCATGATTACTATTTACTGTTAAGTAAACACAATTTGACTATAAAGTTCGAAAGTAATAATCATTTTTCAATAATTTTAATATAATAAAAATTGTTTTTTGTTAGGTAAAGTGTTATTCAGTGTAGGCAAAATATACATTGGGTCTCAAATAAAACAATATAAAAATACGCTTCCAACGGATAAATTAATAACTAAGTATTGATTTTTAAACAAAAATCTATATTTTATCATTCAGATCATGACAAATTGTCTTTTTAGAAGCTTTATTTTTTTTATTTTTACTTATATGGAATTTTTTAACGCATTCAATGAATATCTAGTAATCTATTATTAGTATGTATAACGAATATGCTCTACAGCAATTGGGCTTATGCATAGTGGCGCACGAATTACCCATTTTCTGGGATTTCAAATTTCCTTTAATAGAAATCTTTCAATATCCGTTTGACATTCCTTTAACTTCAAAACAGATTTACATAAAATTACATAAAAATAAACTATTTATCACCGAGAGTATTCTGAAGACAATTTAATTAAAAAATAATAACAAATTATATTTCTGATAATAGAATAAAATTTTAAACTCGTCATAATATTTTTGTTAAACTACATAGGTAGTTTATGATTTTCAGGACTTATTAATAAGTTTTTTTTAATCGTTTAATTTTTTCCGACATTACAGATTTCATTTAAAAATTTTCGAATAATTAAAAGCATGTAACCAAATGTTTTTTTCTGCTTACCTCGGAAAATTAAAATAGGATGTTGAAATGTATTTTATATTACATTTTATAGTACACACTTACAAGGCCGAATCGAGAAATTTTTTTCGGGAAGGGTCCATAATATGTATATTGTAATTTTAATAAATTTAGATTTCAACTTTTGATATTTGGTTAAAAATAAAACAGAAAAAGATTTAATCTTTTTTTATTCAAATTAATATCATGTATCACCCTGGACCTCCTCCTGATCCTAACCTTGCACACTTATATTAAGGAAGAATCTGGCTTTACTAATTTCTTTTTTATTACTGCTTTTTTTTTATTTTCATAATTATATATCCATGGTGGATTTAATATCGATCGCCGCTGCATCAACACTACTAAGGTGTTTTGATGAAACAGAGGTTATAGTCGTTAATTTTCTTATAACCAGACATTTTTTCATACTGGTCGTAAAATAGCTATTTTACAACTAATAAAATATATAGCGTGTAAAATATATTTTCTGTTTATTTTTCACAATTTTACAAAAAAATAATATTTTCCGCCCTAAAATACATACGTCAAAAAATAATCGTGTTTCACAGAACATTTTTATTGTAGCAAGTATAACCACGCTATATGTATACATATATAATACATGCAACAAAACATAAAATCCATTTGTTACCTATATTTTACAAATTGAATCAATGAGTTCAAAGAAAAAAATCAAAACATTTGTATTTTAAAATTATCAAATCTATAAATGACCTGAACATTTTATTTTCCAAACAAATTTTGCTACTTATTCATTAAAATATTTGTTTATAAATAATGGTGGGTAAGCTGTCACTTGAAAATAAATGTTTCATAAATCAATTAGAAGTTTTTCAGTCGTTCGGAATACTTGCATTGAATATATAATATATTAATAATAGTCGTGTGCAGTGGCAAATTAAGTAATTTTCCGCCTACACAATTGCACAATTGCCGCTATTTCATTTTCAAACATTTTTTTTCAAAAAACAAAATACGAGTATGTAAAGATATTGTTAATCAAATAATTTTTATTATTTTAAATTGAATTTAATATTAAAATACGATACAATGATTACAGTATTTTTGTTCGGATTTTGATGTTTAATAAATGTGTTAATTATGCGTTGAAAGTCAATTGTCGACACTAATTCTGATTTAATTCACAAAAGAACTAAATAATTTAACTGATATTGCCACTAATAGATTTTAAATACATTTTAGTTTTTCTGAGATACGAAAACAATCGTTTTGCTACACAATTAGTAATTGTCTTACATGAGTATATTTTTAAAGTGATGATCACATTTGGAAATAGTTATTCTAAATTCTGGTTTCGATTCGAAAAAATATAAAAAAAACTTTGATTTGGTTGTTTTTTTTCAGTTGTATTTGTATCTTGTATCTTGTAAATGTGTTTTTATCATTGTCCGTTTCATAAAATTGTTGAAGATTTTCGGCTTCTTGAAAAATATTATCGGTATGACTTCTTGTCTATGTTGATGAAAAATTGAATTTATCGTTCATTTTTGAATATCCAGAAAGTGTAATTTCCAGTTTCAATCTAAGTTGATCCAACACGGAAAAATAAATAGTATTTAGTTTGTCTTTACTGCCAAAAACTACTTCATTCACTCTCCGAAGTGAATGTCGAATTACATTTGTTTAGTTTGTCATACAAAATTGGTCATGCAAGAAGAAATTTTTTATCCAATTCATATTTCACTAATAATAAAAATTCGAGTTGATCGAAACCATTTCAGTTATTTAATAATTTAATGTTTAATACCTATAATGTAGTATAATATAATATAGTTATATATGTATATAATTTGTTTTAAGACCAGCACATTTTCCGTCGTCCCTAAAATTTTTCAATCCACAATCCACCTACTAATTTTGCCTGTAGGGTAACCCGACACGGGTCGTGCGATTGTCTATAATTCATATTGTGTACTTCGAGGATACACTTACAGATATTTGAAGATTCGTGTGAAAAATTTAGATAAAATATGAATGCAACATATCAAAATAACCGAGTTAAAAGAGGCGCGAGTACTTGCTTACGGGCATGTACTCGTATAGTATACTGCCGTACTAAGCAAAACCCAAACAATTCCATTTTTTCGTTGAAATGGATATTTACCGTTTATAAAGTTAGTTAAGGTTGGTTAACAATTTGTTTTTATTACAATATTCACGTTTTTCATTAAAAATATATTTTCTAACCGGTAAAATTCAAAATGTTAGATTTATATAAGTAGAAATTAGTATATGGCATGAAAAATGATGGATTCAGAGTTTTGGTCTCAACATTTTTATCTTAAAAAAAATTTTTAATAAATCGAAAGACGTGTACATAGATTAAAGTTATCAGTGATACAATGCATATGACGGTGTATTCGATCAGTTTAACTTTCATACATTTTAAGATAAAGTCTTAATATTTTTATAAGGAAATACGAAAAAAAAAAATTCAACACAGATTTGAAAAATCGATTAAATCAGTCATTGTTTGTAATTCATTAGTGCTCGTGCGTAGTCGTGCGTTCCTACGAGGACTAATTTTGTTGTTCACCAAAGCACCGCGGACCGGAGTTGTATCATGTTTGTAGTCGGCAATATAATGTACAGTATAAATACGCCCCTGGCTGCAGCCGTTTATTGAACCACCGCGGATAGCCACCCCGTTGTTTCCTTTGACGGGCCTGTTTGCAAACGGGCGGTAGCGATAGTGATGGTATTGAGGGCGGTGGTGGTGGTGACGGTGCGCCGCCGGGAGAGCGTTGGAAATCTGCGAAAAACATTTCGCGTTCCGCGCACGGTTAAAAAATCAATAACGTCGCGCCGCGGTGGTGCGTGTATTACGGAAACGCAAGGTGCGCGCCCCTTCGTCATACACGACCGCGTTCGTTTTTCGTTGTTGAAATATTTAAAACGAGTGTATCATATTATTCGTGTACAATATATGCGTCATGTTCGCGTAGTTAGTAGCACTGGCGACCGTGTATTTAAACCATATGCAGTGGACAGGGCTATAAACGTGTACGTACGTATGTAAATGTGAAGGGTACGTTTTAACGAACGGGAGAAATGTACGTATTGTATTATTTTTTTATATTATTTTATATTATTAATTTTATATTGTGTTATAATGGAATATGTGAAAACGCGCGCGAGTGTTAATATTGTCGATTATTAATTTATTCCTTTTCATCGGCATTCTACCGTAAACTCTGAAGCAATATTAACAAAGTATATATATATGGGCGATTAGCTGGGTATTAAGTTGTTAACATTGTTTGGAGATTACGGTAGAATGCCGATGAAAAGGAATAAATTAAAAAGCGACAGTGTTAACACTCGCGCGCATTTTCACATATTCCATTATAACACAATATAAAATTAATAATATAAACTAAAAAAATAATATAAAATAATATAAAAAAAAATATTAAAATTATATAAAATATAACATAATATAATGACTAAAATACTGAATTGTGAAATCTAATGACCTATTGCACATGTGCAATTCTGCATAAACATAAACCGTGAAGTTTCTATTTTTTTTTACATTTTTTTTTTTTTTTAAGTCTTAAATGATATTTAAAATAAATAATTATAAAGAATAAAAACGTGGAAAATTCATGAGTTGCCTATTCCGTTTTGTTTCTTATCATCAAAAACTACGTTAACGCAGAAAAATGCATGTGCAATGGATCATTAGATTTCATTATTCAATCTTTTAGTTCAGACCAAAATAATAAAAGATTTTTTTTCTAAATCTCGATTAATTTTTCGTACCAATGAATTGAGACTGGACAGCATACTTGACCTAACGTCTATATTGGTTATTATATGATATTTACATTATTATATTTTTACACTTAACTTAGTAATAGCATAATATAAGTAATACATACATTATGAAACAAGTGAAAACACTTCATCAGAATTACTTCTATCATATTATAAAATTGAATAAAAATATAAAATATAAAGTTACCGTTCATTTACATTCTAGTCCGATGCAATATTTCAATTTTTACTCAGCAATTCTTATAAAAGTTTGAAATAAAATGTTTGATTAGGTGCTTATATTAATTCTTAAAATGAGTATTTTTTTTAAAGTTCAAATTATTTAGCTCATTGGTTGTACTTATATGTCCTACAATAGTTCATTTTCGCAAATATTTTATTTTATAAATTAGTATACAATAATAAAATAAATAAATGAAAAGATATTAGCTCAGTTTTTCTGTGCACTAAATCAATGAGACTCAAGGTAAAATGCACTTTACACCCTTTTGGTTCGAATTATATTATTAGAAAGAAAATAAAAAATCATTATAAAAATGTTTTAGAATAGAACATTGCATTGGTCCTATAGACAGGATCAAATTATTTTTACTTCGTCAGATTGTTCCATATGTCCAATTTTATTTTTAGTTTACTGAACATTTATATTATAAAATTTTTTGATATTTTAACTAATTTGTGTAATGATAACAAAATTTCAATATGTTAATATTTTGGGATTACTTTCTTTGTATTAAATATTAAATTAATACATAAATACCATATGTTTGTTATGTATATATACGGATAAGTGTTGAATAGATACTATTACAAAATTTAATTTCTTTATTTGAAATATCATATTATTATACCTATTAAGTTGTTAAAATAATACTTATACCTCATATTTTATTATTTAAGGTAGGTGATTAATTGCTTAATTTTATTGAAATAATTAAAAATTAATAATATCTTGTTTAGCTTTTATACTAATAATTATTCGAAAAAAATGTGACACGAACGTTTTTTTGATTTGGCCTATTAATTAATTACTATTTTTTTGCAATTTTTTCATCAATCGGATAATAAATATAATTAAATATAACTAGATAACAAATGTTTGATTTGTCACTCAAAACTAAACAAAAAACATTTGGCAAGAATCTTGAGAAGGAAAAAAATAGATATGCGATATAGTATTATAAATCTCAATACATGTATAAACAGAAAATAAATATTATTTATACTTGGGGACTGATTTAGGCGTGTAGTAGTGGCCGTCGAACTCAAATATTCGCGGAGGTCTCGTGTGGTGGTGCGTCATTGCTATTTGAGTGGGAGAAAATTCACTAAAAATATGTTTTCTTGGATTGCCACCACTCGGCAGGCCTACATGAAAGGTTTGCCGTGTTCGTACAATGTATTTTAAGGAAATTTACGGGTATTCGAAACACGCCTATGTGCGCTTTCGTGTAAAACGCTGAACCACGATTCCGAATTTTAGACCAACGTCTTTAATTATGATTTATGAGCACGGCGTATTTTATGCAGTCATGAAATCTCGTCGAACGCCTCTGACATTAGATTTTGTATGAATAATACGGTTGTTAGAGTGCATTTTTTCGCATCACGTGCATAACAAATCTATTCGGGCACTATCAAAAAATTCAACGAACCGATCAAGAAACGAGCGATAAGATTAATAGAGTTAACAAATAATTGAAAAAAAAACTTGTAATCGAAGTGCACGGGGTTGCGGTTAAAAAATGTACGCCGTTAATAGTTTTCCAAGTATTTTTGAGTTTTAATTTTTTCTCATGTTATACATACATTTTGAAGATAAACGTAGGTGTGCACTTAAAAGATAACAAACACGGATTTTTAAACATTTCTAATATCAGTAAGTTATGGACGAAAATGAGAGTGTGGACGGTTGTGAGGTAACATACGTAGAGAAGCATAGACTGTGCGGGTGGTGTGTTGGTTACATGCACCCGGACAGCTGCAAGTACCGTGTGATCCAGTGGCACCGAACACGTATGGAAAACGGAATAAATACCCTAGAATTTTTTTTAGGTGGTGATTGGGACAGGTGATTTAATGAGTGTTAGATATATTATTGTTATTATTGTATGATAAAATATTCTATAACAGTGTGCAATTACTAGATAGTAAACACTCGTAGTTCACATGTGTACGATACTTGCTGTTTAATTATGATTTTTTTGGTGAGTGTATGGGTACTAACCCATTAGTAGGGTCTACCCCAGTGATATAGGAAAGGTTCGGCGCCGCTGGTGTGACCGTAGCCCGGCGCGTGAAGATCACGGCTTTCGTTCACGCGTCACAGGACCCACCGTCGGCGGAAGTAGCATAGTTTTCGGTGTCGAAGGAGAGAGGATGAGCGTCGAAGCTGACGGTATTGTAGGGCCAAAAGGAATTTCGTAAATTTTCACCGGTGACGTTTGTCGTCGGAACATACGACATATCTTCACGACGACGTCTGATCAGTCGGGCTCGGTTCCCCCACCCTCACTAATGTGCCGTACCATAACTTCCTTATCACCATGTGATCGACGACGCACACACGCACAGTATTCATACATACGAGCTGCGGTTAACGTCTTACTTAAGCGCATTATGTTTGTGTATTTATGTGTGTGTGTGTGTGTTTTCTTACGTACACCCAAACACCAATCACACAGAATTTTATTAACTCAAAAATTAATAATTATAATATTGTATCAGCCAGTTTATAATTAACACGTTCACATTCACGATAAAATACGTAATTATTTATTAATATAATGTACAATACATGTATAAAACATTTTACACGACTATACATTTAATAGAAATATTGTAATAAATAAAAATATATTATAAACACACACACATACGTCTGTAGTAATATTGTTATATTATTTTAACGATTATTAAACATACTTAACGGTTTTCAAAAGACTTTACCTGAATATAGCACATAAAGTGTGCACCTGTTAAAATCGCGTTTTCTTTGTTTTTCAATACCGATGCCACCCCGCTCACCACCTCCCACTGGTCCGTCCCAATCTCACCACTACTCGTGCGCGACTATTCTCTATCCGTCTCACTTGCTTAGTCGCTCTCTCTCTTTCTTCCCATTTCCATCTCATTCTTTTCTGTTCGTTCTTCTCGATTCTCTTTTTATTTCTTTTTCATCTTCATTTAGTGCAATAATTTTTTTATACGTTACGCAAAAATGTGTCTGTCGTCCGTTTCCACCGAGGTCATCGGGTTTGTAGTTCGCGTCACGTATTCATTTGAAAAATGTTATTGGCTAGTCAGCTGTTAAGTCGGCTGCGTAGTTTTAGGTAATAATTAAATGACTATTGATGATGGTTATTATTAATATTATTATTATTATTATTATTACTATTTGTTTTATTTGTATGCTCTTTACCCCTCCTCGCCATCTCTCGTTTCAACATCATCGTTCTGTAAGGTATCAAGTGATAACGAAATCTTGATTTTTTTAGAATAATATTGGTTCTTGGTCCTTGGTCCCATTTGACGTTTGATCCCACCAATCATAGGCGTAACTTGGAAATTTATTAGGGGGGGGGGGCAAAAATATAATTACATATCTAACGAAAATGGTGTCTGAGACTAAACGTCGCTTTACTAGCTACATATTATTATATAAAATTATTCATTTTCTAACATTATGTAAGATAAACGAAAATTTAAAATTAAGATTTAAAAAAAAAAAAATGTTTTAGTAATAACTGTAACTAGCTGTTTTATACTTATTTTAAAACAAGGTATGTTAAATGTCAGAAGGGGCTTTGCCCCTCCTATTTTATTATAGGGGGCAGTTTCCCCCCAAGCCACTCCCAGTTAATGCCTATGCCACCAATCAATTAACTCTTACTTATTTATTTGTAAATACATGAACAAGTTATATTATTCATTATGATTATTGTTCACCCATTTGAAATTGTTATTGTCTATTTATTTACCTTTTTCATTGATGTAGTTGCATAGTAATTTAAAAAGTACATATTATTCTGCTGGCCATAATTTGTATTCTAATAGTACCCTTTGTTTTCTTCAAAAATTGTTAACAATAATAAAACGACCAATGTACATTGTCTTATAAATAAAAATATTAAGCTTATGTAGTAAAAAAAGTTAAAGCCATACTTTTTGTCCAATTTAAATTAGATTTATTGATCTTTATCATTGCTAAATATGAACATAATTAAGATTTATCACATTGTTGAAAAATGTAAATACAAACCTTGTTTTAGGGACATTATAAAAAAAATAATTTAATAATAATACTTCAAAGTATATAATATTTTAATGAATTAAAAAAAATACATTAATATTAGAGATGTATTAATTTAAAGGGGGTTGTAAAATGTGTTGGATTGATGAAGTGAATAAAGTCAAGCAATAGAGATTAAAGCATTAATAAAAAAAATAAAAATGGACCACCTTTTAATTATATGAATATTGTTAATCATTTTAAATCATTTTTCATTATTAAAAATAAATATCTATGTATAGATGCTCTTATGCGGTTAATATTTATAATAATGTACATCATATTGTTTAAACAAACAATTTTTAATATCTTTAAGTATTCCATAATTAATATAACATTTATATTTTATGTAATATAAGTATCTAGCAAAACAATAATATTTATATTTTAATATGAATATTATATTTAGCTCAAATACTAAATATTTTTGATTTGATTATGTTTCAGAATACATTGTTTTTGTTTTGGTTAATTTCATTTGTTTGCTAAAAACAAAAGTTTATCAACGAATTCAAAAAAATAAAATAATTTCAATATGATGCAAAACGGAATGGATTCACTACCACATAATGGTTCAATACACACCTCAAGTACAAATTCTCATGCTTCACAAGGAAATTCTTTAAATGAAGAAAGCAAAACTAACCTTATTGTAAATTACTTACCTCAAACCATGACTCAAGAAGAAATTAGATCACTATTTTCTTCAATTGGTGAAGTTGAAAGTTGTAAACTTATTAGAGATAAAGTTACAGGTAAGCAGTGCCATTTTTATTTTATATTTATATTAAATATGAGATATGTTCCTAATATAAACTAAACAATTGTAAATTGTAATACTAATTTATAAAACATTAAGAACCCATTCTTAATTGTCTTTTATACCTTGTAAATTAAATAAAAGTTAAAACATGCTATAATGGTGCCGTAAATAATTATATAAATTAAATGATTTTAATATTCTTCAATAAGAAATTAAACTAAGGTAAATTAAATGGTTTTAATTATTATACTAACAAAATTCTTAACTTACATCTGCCAAATGATTTGTATGAAATATACATTTTTATTATTTGTTATTTTTTCGAAAAATGTACTTTTGATAGATGTATTTTTCATTTAACTTGTTCTTCAAATATAAAGAAAGTCACATACATTTTTGTTTTTTATAAAAAAATTTATTTTGTAAATGTTAATTAATTTTTAGATCATTCTATCTCATTTTAAAATAAAAAATATACCACATATCACCCATAAGATATAATATTCTTTATGTTTTATAATAGATTAATTCATCTTATATTTAAAACTTAAATTTTTAATTATATATAATAATAAATTTGCATGATGCATGAATAATAATAATTAAGATATCTGTGTACAATATTCACTCTATTTTGCAATATATGTTACAAATTAATTGGCTTAGGATAGAACATAGGTATACAATAATACAATTAAAAAAAATGGACTAGTTGATATTTATAAATTTATGTAAAACATTTGTTGTATAAAGTTTCATTAAATTTATAGTGTAATTTTATCATAATTAATAATAAATAATAAAATATTGAAAATAAATTATTAATTTAAAATTGTTAATTATATAGTTATATGCTTAATGTATGTATGTATGTAATGGGAATTTATAATATTGTTGTTATTAAACTAATTTTACCAAAGTTTCATGATTAATTAGGCCGATATATTTTGTGTCTAAGATATATATATATATATATATAAAATCAAATATTGTTTTCAAAATAAATAATTTTTGTTATTAAATAATATGTTCTAAAATTTATCTAAAGCTTATTCAAATGGTCATATAACAAACAATCATCCATTTATATGATTTTATTGCCATTACATTGATTTAAAATCATATGGGTGTGTATTATATATATTTCACAACATAATCTGAAACAAATGTAATCTAATGATTATTATTTATTATCCTAATGTAATTATTGTTTTTGTAAGTATCTACTGTAAATTATTACATTTTTTTCAGTCTATAATAATTATAGAAGGAGATTAAACATTTGATTAATCAATTTTACCCCAATAGTATAATTTTTATCTATTACACAAAGAACCTACTTTAATTATTAAAAACTATACTTATTTATTACTGTTGTAGAATAAATTTGTATTGATTTATTATTTATTATTAATGATGAATTATTATTAATCAATTTATTATTATTTAATTTGTCTCTATTCTTGAGCTTACAAATCAGATGCTTTGTTATATTTATAATCATCTCTTTTCTTATATATATAGTTGAATTAATAAATGTTTATAAACTAAATCAATTTTTTTATTAATACATTGTACCTGATGGAGACATGTATAATTCATAAAAAATTCATACATAATTAATTTCAAATAATTTTTTTTGTTTTTATATTGTCACTTATAACTTTATTATATATTTTTAATGATTTAGTTTTTCCCTATTGGAAATTGTTTAATCATTTGTAATATTTTAAACAAATAATTTTGATAAGTATTTCAAGTAAATAATTTTTTTATCATTATAAAAAAATGTCTTTAAAATGTCTTAAAATGATTTATCGTTGTAAAAAAATATAATTTCAATAATACAACTATACAGCATTGTGGTGTGTTTATAAAATGTGCCTATGTGTGAAATATTTGTATTCTTAAGAATTTAACAAATGACAATACCACCAATAAATGTAAAATATTAATTTAATTACTTTAGGTAGTATAATATTTCTAGACTGCTTTTGAAAAGTATGAATACTGATTATTACCTTAATAATTATGAGAACAGTTTTAACTGTACTTTTTTGATCACTAAATACGTTTGATAATTATTTACAAATGTATTATTAAACTTTATAAATTAACTAAATTTTGCATTTTGTATTTAAAAAATGAATTTGTATGTGCTATTTAAACAAAACAAGTTATATTTAATTTTTAGAGTATTATAATTAAACAATAAACATTTTTCAAATGAGTAAAATATTTTATTTGTAGAAGGAATTTACTTTATGTGCCTAATGGCATCAGATGAATAATAAGTGTTTTTATTTTTTCATGCATTTTCACAACAGGATCTCTTCCATCAGGTACTGTAATGTAAATCCTTGTTAGCTCTTAATATTGATTTTATTAATTTTAAACTAGGTTATGTAATCGTGTTTCATTTGAAAATTTAATATTTATATATATTTATGACTATTTGCTCAATATAAATTAATATATTAAACTGAACTATCGTATTTTAATTAAAACCAAGTCATGATAAATTAGAATAAGATATAATACACACTAAATGTAATTTAATACATGATTACCAAAGTTCATAGCTTTTATTCTACTAAAAGTAAATTTTCTAGTAAAACATTGTGGTGCTCTTTTTAAAATAAATTAGGATATAATACATATAAAATATATAAATATATCATATGAGTTTTAGTTTTGTTATTAATGAAAAATTGATGTTCATCAGGTTTAAGCTGTATCCCTACTATAAATATAACTGAGTACTTTCCATGAATATTAAAATAAATATGTAGGTATATACTTACTTGTATATTTCAGTTTGTAGGAAAAATTAAATTAAATAAATGTTAATATCTTTATTTTGGTAAATTAAAAGTTGTAAAAATAATAATTAAGAATTCAAAATAAAAATCACAACTTGAAAATAATATAACTTTTTTTTTATTTTAGTTATTGTTTATTCTCTAAAATTGCATTTTTTTAATTAACTTACTCCAACTTTACCACATTAAATGTAATTATTTAAATAATTTTATGGACTGAACAAAATCATATAAATGATTAATTTTTTTTGTTTTACATCTACTAAGTTCTTACTCATCAGAATATTATACTCAAATTAACATATAACTTTTATAAGATCGTAATTTTCTATCAATCATTTTTGATTTTTAATTTTTTAACATGCTCATGTGTAGGTGATTGATTTATTATTTATAACATAAATTATAATTAATAATATTAAATAGTGTTGTATTAAGTACTCAATGTGTATCCTGTCCACAAAGATTTAATTATATGTTCATAGACTCATCAGTTTTTTGCACTAAAATCTTATTAGTGTATTTAAACCCATTTAAAATTATGTTTACAATATACATCAAATATGTTTGTTGATTAAGTATCAAAAAAAAAAAAAAAAAAAATATTTCATCATTCAACTCATTTACTCATTTTAAAAATATTATTCATACATCATCTAACTTATCTTCAGCCCGCTACTCCTCAACTTAATTGTTTAAATTGTACTACTTTATAATTAAATAAATATTACTTTTCAATCGTACAAATATTAATGTTGAAACATTAACATACATACATATACTATGCATGGTATATTTTAGTTCATAAAATATTAGTTACCCAATACACTAATATATGTATTTAATATATTTCATTGAATTATTAATATTTTTATATGATAAAATTAAATATTATTTGTACAGGTCAAAGTTTAGGTTATGGTTTTGTTAACTACCATCGACCAGAGGATGCAGAAAAAGCAATTAATACTTTAAATGGATTAAGATTACAAAATAAAACAATTAAGGTATATTAAATAATAGTTAATTAAATCTATAAAATCAATTTATTAATCTACTAGTATGTTTAAATAATTGTACCTATTATTAATTTATTTTTGTAATAAGGTATCTTTTGCAAGACCTAGTAGTGAAGCAATCAAAGGGGCTAATTTATATGTCAGTGGTCTTCCAAAACATATGACACAACAAGACCTTGAAAATTTATTTAGTCCATATGGTCGAATAATAACATCAAGAATTTTATGTGATAATATGACTGATGAGTTTAGTTTCATATTTTTGAAATAATATTATTTGTATTGAAATATTCTAATGGAAGAAATATGACTGATATGTTCACAGTGCGACAGTTTGTGGGAAATACTGGAGGAGATCATTCGCCGTGTAAGTTATTGATTTTTATATGATCAATAAATTGTATAAACTATATAATATGGATTAGAAAAACTGATTCAGCAAAAAAATTACAATATTCAAACAAACTTTTTTCTAACCTATTATATGTATCATTATTAAGTGTTTAAAATAAAAAACTTTCTTTTTGGAGTAGGTTACAGAAGTTGTTTCTTTATATTGAACAAGAATTGGATAAAATATTTTAATACTAAGTTGAAATTATTGTTATAAGTGTAATTGTGAAATTAAATATTATTATAACTTATTTTTTCAATATAAATAGTAGGTTTAATTCTTGTGAATTTTTTTTTTTTTTTATTGAGTATTACTTTTTTGTTATGGTTTAAACAAATCTAATTAATATTAATTTAAACATGCAAATATTATAAAAAAAAACTATTACCAAAATTTTAGAACTAATATATTTTCTTTAAATATTTATTTAATTTTTTTTTTTAATAAATCAACTTTGTCTTTTTCATTTTGACAACTTAATTCATTTAAGCGGTCAAATGTGTTATACATTTTATTTACTACAATTTCTTTTTAGCAATTTCAAAAGGTGTTGGTTTTATAAGATTTGATCAAAGAATTGAAGCTGAACGAGCTATTCAAGAATTAAATGGAACTGTTCCCAAAGGTTCTACAGAATCAATTACTGTGAAGTTCGCTAACAATCCTAGTAGCAATAAAGCGGTTCCTGCATTAGCAGCTTATTTAACTCCTCAAGGTGCACGGAGGTTTGCTGCTGGCCCTATTCATCACCCTACTGGGCGCTTCAGGTATATTCCACTCTCCCCTTTATCCAGGTATGACCATTTCTTCTCTTCATTTGTTTTACAATGATATTATTAGAATCAGTTCATTAAAATTTAAAATGTTCCATTTATTCAATAAGATTGCTATTAGAAAAATTTAAATAATAATTTGGTTAAATAAAAAGGAAAAATATATTACATTTAATAGTTTTCTAAACATATGAATTAACAACAATATACTACATTTTAATAAAAATATTGAAATTATGTAACAATACTAATTATTTAAAAAATAAGTTTTTCTTTTATTTGTGGGGAAATTGTAATAAATCAAAAAATAAAATATAGACAATATTTTCTTATTGATGTATAAAATATATGAGATTCAATTTAATAAATTAAATGACTTTTATTTCCATATTTTATATTTTGTTTATTATTGCTTTGTACATTTTTTTTATACATTTTCTTATTTTATTGGTTTATTACATATTTCCAAAACAATTTTTCTTAATGGTCTCTCAGGTGCTAATTAGCTAAATTATGATTGTAGTTAGTAATATGTTTTAAATATTAAATTCTCTAGTTAGCATTTTGTTCAAAATAAAGATCAACTTTTCAAACTAAGATTTTTAATTTACTTTATCATCCCCAATATTGAAAAAAATGCTTTGTTGAGTTCACATTCATATTCTAGCATGATTAAAAGTGGCATACTAAGGTTTTAAATATATCGAATACTTTCATAATTCAATACCAGTTTTTATAGGCAGATGTAATAACATTCTTATTTAAAATTTGGCAATTATATAAATTAAGTTAATATTAAAAATTTAAATTACTATACCCAATTTACAATTACTATTGTTTTAATAAAAAAAATAATATATTACTATATATATATCATATAACAATGTATCATATTTTTGTTTAAAATATTAATCATAAATGTATCATACATAAAAAATATCATTTATTTCATTTTATATTTTTAATAAAATGTTTCGAAAAATAATTATATTAATTGCTTAATTTTTATCAAATAATCGAGGATAATTCAAATAAGTTAAATTTATCAATTTTATTAAAAAAAAAAAAAAAAAACATTCAATTTTCTATTAAATTAATGATTTTCACTTCAGTAAGTATGTGTTGATTAGTTGAAATAACTTTTAAATTAATTTTAATGCACTTTTACTATGGTTTATTAGAATATATATATTGAAAAATAAAAATAATAATTTAAACAAGAAAAGTAATATGTTTTTAAATATTTCATATTGATTATAATTAACAAAATTATAATAATACTTTTTTTTTTATTACAGTGTAAAGTCAACCTTTACATATTTATATAAATATTTCTTCTTTACATTAAAATGTAGTTGTTTATATTTAAATTTTATTTTCAATATGTTTAATGGTATCTTGTATTGTTCAACAGATAACTGTCATCTGACTGTATACTGAACCTCTGAGCTCTATTTACATGTTTATCGTATTTGAATAATATCTTAAAACTGCTCATTTAACAAAAGTACAATTTTTTTGTGCTGTAAATATTAAAATGATGGTCATATTTTATATTTTATTATAATGTATACATTTACCCACCCTTTGTTATTTTTACATAATTATATTATTACAAGACATACATTTTCCTGATTATTTAAATTTTTATTAACTAGTGATTACCAGTATGTTTTTAATTAATTCTTTATTATCAATAAACTTTTAGAAAATATTTTAATTTAGTCTTTTGTTTTGTTTTGTTTTTTCATTTTACAAAGTGTGGCAGCTTATAAATAGTTTTGTTTTTAACATTAATATTATTTGATTGCACATTATTTACATTAACTAATATATAAATGTACATAGCCTAAAAGTAATTTTTAGGAACTTTTTGAAGTATTGAAAATTTGATCATTGTAATGTTTTTTTTATTTATAAAAATAATATAATTTTACAATAAACATTATTATTGTATTTTTACAAATAGTCTGTTAAATAATACAAATAGTTTAACAAACAAAGAAATCAACTATATTAACATAATTTTTCAGTGTTAGTTTTAGTAATTTTTTTTTTTATTATTGATTGACATAATTATTTTATCAATATTTATATTTTATGGAAGATTTATCATTTGAATACAATTAGTTTCTAAAAAATGATATTTTATCTAATATTTTTTATTTTATTTTGTGATATACATACATATTTTAAAATATTATTATTCTGTTGGTAAATTTTCAATTAATTTATTAATTACTTAATTACTTATAAATAATTAAAAATCTTTATATTTAAAGTATATTACAAGTTCTAACACAATTTTTAGGGCTAGGAGGATTCAGTTCCAGTTTTACGATAGTTTTAATATAAATTAGTATTTCTCTTCAATTGACCTACTTAGCTGAGTTATTGTCATGATGATCAACATTTCGATAATCAAGCTGAAGGACTAAAATTGAAGTGTTAAATTTGATCATTTTTTAATAATTTATTAAATTATATAATTTTAAATCATTAATCATATTTTAAATAAAACATGTAATTATAATTCACTCCTTCTCCAAAAATTCCTGTACGGATGATGGTCAAAATAGTATTTAAATTAACATTATTTTGATAGTTATAAAAATTAGTCAAAATAAAATTCTTAGTAAATTAAGACTTTTCAAAACTCAATAACTCAATGAATGGAGAGGAGAAATTGTTCATACCATTCCTGGATAACAAAGTGTAATTAATAACCAATGGATTGATGTATCACGAGATGGCATAGGTAATATATTTCCAATTATTTGTATTTGGTGCTGATGAGCACTCTAAATTGCTGGTAGGAAGAAATATTTTGAATTGAAAAAAAAACATGGTAATCTTATTTGTGTACGTAGAACATAGCAAAACAAATCTCATGTTTTATATTCAAAAGAAGGGGTACATAGAATTTTTCCATGATATGCATGTAGTTTAACATTATTTAATTTGATGAAAAGATTTTTATTTTTAATATGAATAAATTATTTTGTCTGTACTACTGAATTCAACTATTTATTTATTTATTTATTTATTGTTGATTCTTTTTATTTAATACTCTTCATCATTTTAAAATGTATTTAAATTAATATTTATGAACATATTTCTATCTCGTATATATATATATATATATAAATTATTTATCAAAATTAGTTGAATGACAGTAGAAAACAGAATTACTTCTCTATTCAAATTTAATATTTGTTTGATTGATTTACTAGAATATTAAATTTTTGACTTATATTAATAACCCAGTATTATTATTTAAATAATATGTTATAAAAAACAACTTTTTTCTACCTTTTTGTCTTGTTTGTTTGTTTATACTTATTTTTTCATTATTGCATCAAATAACTTCTTAATAGATTGACATCTACAATGACATTTTTTTTATTTTTATCATTGAAATAGAACAATTATTAAAGCTGCCGCTCGTTGTACAATTTATTTTACATAGATTTTATTGTTGGTATAAATAAATAAACATACATTTATTTATTTTAATTTTATTTTGTTTTAGCACTGGAAAGACCATGCTAGCCATAAACAAAGGCTTACAGAGGTCAGTATTGTTTATTTTATAACACTTCTAATCTTAAATTTAAAATATATTTATTGGAAAAATATGCATTATTTAAACTAAAAGAAACAAAATGGTAAAAGTAATTCAATTTAAAATTAATGATACTTAGTATTACTTTAATATGTAGAGCAGTACTTAAGGAATTTAGTTAAATATATAAAATATTTAGATATATTAGTAAATATTATAAAAATAAAATACTTTGAAATTTATGTATATTTCTCTATATTTTTTAACTTGTTTTACTAGGTATTTTGTTATTGTGTCTGTCTTATTTAAATCATGTAAAGTGTTTTAAGCTTTTATATTTATTTTATCATCAGTTGAAAATAAAAATGTATAAATATTTTTGTTTTATTAATTTGTTAGACATACATTTTTTTTTTAACTTTGATGTGACAAATAATACTGACCGCAGTAAACAAAATTGAAAATAAGCATGATATAGAGCCTAGAGAGACCTTTTATAATATATTAATTTATCACCTAAATATATTCAATGAAAATGAAAGTTGATCATTTTAAACAGCGAATTCCACCCCTAGTATTTTTAATTATTAAAATAATTAACTTAATAAAATCTAATCATTTCAGAATTTATTTATTATAATTAGTATACAGAGTATTCATATTAAATTATATTAATTTTACTAATTAAAGAAGTTATAGGAGTTATAAAATATTCCTATTATAGTAATTATTATTATAATTTGTCTGAAATAAATAATCATTACAAATATTAAATACTCGTATTGTTTTTTATTTATTTTAGTTAAAATTATAATGCACTTATATGTATGATTTATTATCATGCATTTTTTAAAAATAATTGTATATTATTGATTCTGTTTATATATTGTTTATCATTTATTTTTAAATATATTTAATTAAATATAACATCTTTATTCATTTTTAAATTAAAATGTATAGTTTATATCTTTATATGAAAAATATTCTAGTTCTAATTTAAATGTATTTAAAAGTAAAATATAAAAAATTAATAGTGATAATTATAGCCCATAAAATGTATTCTTTTATTTAATAAGTTGTTTCTAATATAATTAAATATTTATTTTTTAAGTTTTTGATTTAAACTAAAAATACTTAAGTGAACAAGTAAATTCCTATAATTATCACTATTCAATAACTATTACCATTAAAAATATTTTATTATATCAGTTTAAAGATTTTAATAATTTTTATATGATATATGTAAAATAGTTCATTAAATTATAAATTGTTTAATTTTAGATATTCACCATTAGCTGGCGATCTGTTAGCAAATTCCATGTTACCTGGTAATTCTATGAATGGATCTGGTTGGTGCATATTTGTGTATAACTTGGCACCTGAGACCGAGGAAAATGTTTTATGGCAACTCTTTGGTCCATTTGGTGCTGTACAAAGCGTAAAAGTTATCAGAGATTTACAAACAAATAAATGTAAAGGATTTGGGTTTGTCACTATGACAAATTATGATGAAGCAGTAGTTGCTATTCAATCTCTTAATGGATACACGTTAGGCAACCGTGTACTTCAAGTATCATTTAAAACTAATAAAGGTAAAAATGGCAGTTATTTATATATCAATTAATATAAAATTAAATTTGTTATGGGTGTTCATAGTTTTATGCAAAAGTTATACATGGTATATGTAATGACAGTATTGTAATAGTTTATATGTTATTTTTATGTTTTTTTTTTAGGCAAAGGAGATGCATCCAGTTTATTAATGTCTCTTGCTGATTCATTAACTGACTGTTAATGATTTCATCAATCTTCAAATGTTTTCATATGTTTACATAATTCTTCCTTCTAAAACATCTTTAACCGACTTGCAAATTCACTGATATTAACATGTCTAAAGAAGGTAAATTATGTTAATTTATTAATTATATTTTATGTTAGATACATTTAAATTAAATCGCGTGCACCATAATAACGTTATCAAAATAAACACTTTTCAATGCATATTATAAATAATATACAAATTATAATTTTTTTTTTCCTAAAAAAATGTTAATATTACCTATAACATTTTTGTTAATGTTTGTGCAATATAATCATTATTGATACCTATCTTATACTATAAATTTCCCTTTTTTCTTTGTTTTACTTTTGGAACAGATTTAAATAATAATTGCGCAAGCATGTTGACTGATAGTGTTCTGTTCTATTTAACGTTGCTAGTCTAAGATATTCCTAATATTATATATTTTAAATTTAAATTCGTTAATAATTTATTAATATTTTCTTTTTCTTTTGTTGCTATTATTCCATTTGTATGTGTGCGTGTATTATGTGTGTACATAACAATGTAAGTGTGTTTATTTAATTATAAATTCATTTGTATTTATTAAATTTAGGTGAATAATATATTTACCATTCAACATAATGTCCAAGAAAAACTATATTTAAGTCAATGTAATATTTTTACTTTTTTACTCATTCTTACGCTATTAGGTACAAGTAAAATAATATATTCTGTGTACTTAATTATACATAACTTATTCCCTTCTGTTCAAAAATTCATACTACTATTTCTGAAAATTTTTCATTATTTTTCAAAATTAATTCTTACATTTTTGATTGACAACTGTTAAAAATATAACTTATTGAGAGTGAGAATCTAATACAATGTAGTTTGAACTAATATTTATTAATTACTACTAATCACAAAAACTTATTCATTTTGCATTTACTAATAATTCTGATAAAATCAAGTCAATTTTTCTAACGTACCTATATAATATTAAGAACATTTGTTTAAATTTTTGCTTGTACATGACTGTGCAAGTACCTAACCGAATTATTTGGTTAAGTTTTACTTGCACATAAACCGGTGTGATTATTGATCTCAATGAACAGTATGCAATATAACATTGCTTGAAATAAAAATATATACCTACATCTCAAACATACAGATTGTAGTACACAATATAATAACAGGTGGACTTATTGGAGATGATTAATGAAAAGTTAATATTCACAGGGTAATTTGACAAAGACGAGTTTAATGTTTAAATGGACTCTCACTATTAAAACTGGATATTTTTAATGCTTTATGCATATTTTATATATTGCTATATATATACTTATTTCTCAGGGTTATATAAATCTATAACTGAGAAACATAATTCATACATTATTTAACATACTAACCCATTTTATTTCAACAACTATTCTTTATTTAATAAATTAACTAATTTGGTAATTTGAACTTAAAACTATTTAAATTGATTTAAAACAGAAAAATTGAACAGTAATTTTTTAAAAAATTCATAATGTTACATAACATACAATTAAGTTAGATAAGATAAAAATTACTTTTGAAGATATTTCTAATTATTTTCAAAATCTTCTTTAAGTCCACCAGGTTTTTAGTTTTTCCGATATAAAATTTTTTTTAATATCTACTTCTTTACTATAATAAATATGTTTAAGTTCTTTTTGGAATCTTCCACACAGCTATAATTTAAAACATCAGTACCTGATAACGTCAACTTAGTTACATATTTAGGCTATAAATCAGTCCACTTAATTGTTCCTTTATATTTTAACATTCCAGCATGATGTTTGATATAAATATATACGCAGATCTACAAGTCTATTAGTTTTAATATCATCATTAATGTAGTTTAGCTATTATAAAAACATATGGAATAAAAAAGACTAATATAATGAGAAAGAGACTGAAATTAGTTTACATTATACAATAGTTAGAAAATTGATGTCAAAAATATAAACAAAGAAAAAAAAAAATTATTATTTATTGATGAGTTCCTTCATCTATAAAACATACTGTTTCATTGAAATTTACCTGGTCTCATTGTTTCAATAATTAATTCACACAAGTACTTCTAAATCTTTTATATGACAATTGAAGTTGAACTTTTCATATATGTGGTGCTTTTTTACGTAGCAATCAAATAATTTAGTTGTTGCCTAGTTAACCTAACATATAATGGAACAATAAGTTGGATGTATGTTCATTATTGATTTTTTGGGAGAAATAGAGCACAAAAAATTTGCATTATAGAAAACTATCAACTTTTATATTTCTGAAAATAATTTCTTTATTTTAGTTATAAAATGGTAACTTAAGTATTTAGAAAACCTTTAATTTGGTCGACAAATTATTTTGAGTAACTATAAGTTGAGTAATAATAAGTAACTTTTAGAATTATTTCTGTATTATAATATATCCTACATTTATTATAAAATAATTTAATTTATATTGATATTAATCTTTAGATCGTATTTGAAAAAAATGTTACCAAATGACTCTCTAAAAAAATATTTAAAATATACATAATGTCTAATATTAAAATATTTCTTAGATTTAATGTTTATAATCAAATATATTTCTAAGTCATTCTAGTCAGTAGTTAAGTATTTTTCAATATAACAAATTGTCAATATATAATATACACTTAGTTAAAGTATAAATCATTAAAATATTATACTTACAGATACCATAAAAGTAGTATTTTAGATATATATCATTAAATTAGACCAATTAAAGATTTACTGTAATATTTTTTTAGGTTATCATTTTTAATTGGTTAATGGATATGTTTTCAAAAATAACTCTATTATGTAATTAGTTCTGTTTGTTGTAAATTAAAAATCTTGCGTTAAGGTAGAATATTAAAATATTAAAAATAAAAACATTCATGCTCAAAAGAAGTTCTTTTGTAACCATTTTTAAAACACAATTACTAAATTGCCGAAACTATTTTTATATTTGACGCTCAATCAATTCGGTTGGATATTCTCAAACCTATTAATAATATACTAATAACATCCCTATGGTTGATTCATCTTCAATTTAAAGTGTGCTGTACTTATGCATTAAAATTTATTTTAAAAACCATTTAATTATTTAAACTTTTTCATAAATTATTATTTCTTCTTTTTTGTGCCATAGTTTTAAAATGTATTTTGTTTAGATCTCATTAAACCATTTACCTAACTTTTTTGTTGGGTTTTTGAGTTCCTTTCATTATATTATATTTTTTGTTTAAAAACAGATTTGATAATTTATCAACTTTTAGTAAATTGACTTTACTTTAATTAGATATTATTACTTTTGTTCTTATGAATATATATATAATCCAATTGCCAAACAGTTTTGAAGAATCAATCAAAAACCCAATATAATTCAGTGAATACTCTAGTCATATTTTCGATTTTTTTGGTGCTAAATTATTGAAGTATGTTTTATATTTGTTATTTGTTTTAAAAATACAACATATTTCTCTTGAATTTCTTTGGTTTAGGGATGTACAATTATAGTAAAATTAGGTAAATTAATTGTTTAAAACATTAGTTATTTTGTTAAATATGCAACAGATCAAGTTAAGCTTACCTAATATAAAATCAACTTTTTATTTCTTTTAAAATTAGTCTCACGCAGTACATGTATAATTGTTAACAATGTATTCATTGATATTATTACTAGATCTTATTAAATCAATGTTGTTAGAAACGACTTATTTAAATTTTGTAATTTCAATCAAAGTATAACATAAATATAGCAAGATAAATATTTAATAATTCATTGTAAGATTAATTTAGTTCTTTAAATCATCAAAATAATTAAATAGCAACAAAGATTTGGATTATATTAAAATTGGTTATATCCAATTGTTATCTTGTTTAAAATATTGTGTTATTTACCATTATAAGAATTATAAAAAAAACTATAAAAGTATTAAAAATATCCAGTTTTTGTATTGATAAGGTGTCATAAGTTATGTATTTGAATACTCAGCGATTAAAAAGTAATTAATTCATTTAAAGAAATAAGCTTCCTATGTTATTAACGTACAAGTGAAATTTAAAACAATATTCAATTATTTAATACCTAATAGAATAGTAGTTTTTTCAATAATATTTATGTATAACTTAGAAAAGGAAATTTATTTATCCCAGGTTATTTATAAAAATAGAATAGTAAATATATTATAAGTGAAATTCTACTTTAAATGTATAAAACTATAGTTTAAATAACGCACATTAATACTACTTACATGTACTTAAGGTTCATCTTTTAACAATTTTTATTCATTTTAACCAAATTTTAGATCAAAATAAATGTCATATTTTGTCGTATTTTGTTTTTAATTTAGCTTTTTAACATATTTAAAGTTTTTTCATGATTTTTAGATCAAAATAAATGTCATGTTTTGTCGTATTTTGTTTTTGATTTAGCTTTTCAACATAATCAACAATTCTTTATGATTTTTAGATGATTATTTTAGTAAATAATTTTATTTAGCTTTCTTTTTTTACATAAAAAATTTTTGTAAATACTTTAAAAATAACTTTCTTTACATTAACCAAATCATTTATTAAAAACTTCTTTTAAAAAGTTATTTAATAGAATAAAAATATATTTGAATACCTAAAATATGATGTGTAAAAGATTCATATTTTATAAGTCGGTACCTATTGGAATTTACAGAATATAATACTTTGTATATTATTTGTAATAAATGTATTTTGGATTTCGTATTATATTTTTAAATATTTGACTATAGAAAACATTTCTGGAACATCATTCATAAATAAATAACAACAAATAAATTAACTAAATGTTGCGTATATTTTCAAAATGAATACATTATTATTAATTAGTGGTTTTTCTATTTACCACTTGAATTCAAATACTAAAGTAGTCTTTCCAACTATCAAATTCTAAGCAGGGTTTTAGATTTTTTACTATAAGGATGAAAATTGCATTAATTTCCTAATAAACAAAATTACTTCATCAGCACTCTAACCCATTATAATATATTAATCAAAGACAGATAATCGGTCTTCAAAGTTACTTGGGGAGAGGATTTTATGTATGTATATATGCGGTATATGTTCAGTATTTTTATATAAAAATTGAGCATTAATATTACAGAAACGTTGTTCTCCATTTAGATTTGAAGTACTTAAAATATTTTTTTAGTTGTTACATTAATTCATTAAAAATATGTTCTATATAAGATTTTATTTTTAAATTCCATTCAGT